ATGCATGCATGTAAGTAAAGTGCATTGTGGAGAAAAGTGTGTAAGAGCATATGCATGACATTCAGAGTACATAAAAAAATAAATAGACACACTAAGGGTATCTTTCAGGCAAGATACCCGCACAGAAAACCATCCTAGCGGTGCCCACTTCGTGTGGGAAAACAGCGATGCCCAATGGCACAATAGGTGGCCTACTCTATAGGCCTAAATGACCCTAATGATCTCTAAGGCTCACAGAAGGTGGGGGGTATCAAACCCAAAACCGAAAAAAGGCCAAAATCCTAGTGGTGCCCACTTCGTGTGGGAAAACAACAATGCCCAATGGTACAACTGGGTGGCCTAGCTACTCTACAGGCCTAAATGACCCTAATGGTCTCTAGGGCTCACAGAAGGGGCAAGCTTTGACCTATAGGGCCAAAGCTTCGTTAGTGAACTACCCTAAGACCAGCTACCTAAACATGCTAGAATACCTATTAACAAGTCATGTGTGATGTGTAGCAATTTCGATATCTATAATTAAGAGCTTACTTTACAAGTTACATAAATTATACCTGATTGTGGCGCTGCCACTTACAAGCTTATGAGCAAATGATCCCAAATTGTGGCGCGGACACTTAAAAGCTTCAAGCGAGCAAGTCATCCAAATGTACCTCGCAAGACTGCTCGTGAGAGGAGAAAGGGAGAGAGATCCGTGAGTGCAGGGTTCGGTCCTGGAGATGGATCAGACAAAGAGAGGTCGTCGGGAGCAGGGAAGTCGACGATCCAAGCGTCTTCGGACGGGAGCAAGGTGTTCGCCTTGACTGGAGTTCGCGAACGCAATAGGGGCTTCGGCCCGTCTCCATCTCCTAGCGCCGGTTCGTGACAGAGAAAATGAAGAGGGAGAAGAGGGAGGATTCGGGTCCCTAGCTCAGTCCGAACAGAGGAGACAGAAGGAGCAAGTGTTTCGGGTTCGGTCTCCACGCGAGAGAGAGGCTTCGACATCTCTCGTTTATGCGAACCAGAAACGAGAGAGAGAGAGGGGAAGTCGATCTCCTGCCATGAGGCCGATGGCTAGGGCTCCGCAAACCAGTGAGACGAGAGAGGGAGAAGGGAAAAAAAGAGAGAGCCATAGCGAGCGAATTAATTGGGTCTCACGCGACCGACTACTGAGGCAACGGTCGACTTCTAATTTTGGGGAAATCGGAGCCGTCGATGCGATTACCAGATTTAGGAAATGATTCAAATTAAGCCAAAAGTAGATTGGAATTTATTTAGGATTAATTTGGGCTGATTTGAGTTAGGTTTAGATGTGGATTTGACTCAAATTAGGTCGATTTAAAATCAAGCTGGGTTCGATCGATTTCGTCAAATCAAATTAAACTCAAATTGAAATTGATTTGAAACAAATCGAGCTCGTCGTGGTCAAAATGAACGACTCGGGCTTGAACGAAAAGGGTCGAGTCAAATTAAGCTCAATTTGGATCGATTCGAGTTCGAATAGGGCTTGACGAGGTCTAATCGCATCGATCGAATTCACTCGAGGGCACTTGAGCGAAAAATGAGGTCAACAGTGAGCAATATAATACCTAAATAATTTCCTTTTCTCTTATTGGAAGTTGAGTAGTATTTGGATAAACTTCAAGGGGGCAAAACTATATATTTGATAACAAACTATTAGGATAGATAACATTGTAGGGCCGACTATAATGGGCGACATTAAGGTGAGAAGATATATTGATGAATAGAGAAGGATGTCTAGTACTCTTGAAAGATACATGAACTACATCATAAAAAAGAATATCTATAATGGCTAGAAAGTGATCTTACTTTCATTACCGACTAGAGGTGTAACGAGGAGGCCGGTTAGAGGTGGTAGGTGACTACTAAAGGTCAAATGTTAATATATCAAGTTGTTCACATGCTCAAAATATCTTAATAAGAGAGAAAATAATATGAATGGTCAAAAGTGCTCTAGTAATTGTGACAAGAAGCATAATTTGATTGGTTCACTAAAGGAAATATAAGATGATTGATCATTGGATTCGATTTACTTCTTAATGAATAGAGATCTTGATTTCTAAGAGTTAAACATATTGAAGAGATGGAGGAAGATTTGATCACTATGATAAATGTCATGAGTTTGATGTTATTAAATGCTAGTTAGGCGACAAACATTGAATGACGAGATAATTGATAGATTATTTGATCATTTATGAAGGCAATGATTCATGGAAAAGAATTTTAAAATGATTCATGGACTATTGTAGACATGGTAGAGATTTTTTAAGATGATTCATGGACTATCCATACTAAAAATGTACAAGTGGCATAAATGCACTTATTGAGTGGCTTGATTGAGAATCAACGTTTGTAAGGACATAATGATAAAAATACATATTCTTTTGGGATTTAAAGATCAAAGTTGTACTTAGGGTAGACAAGAATGTTGGGTAGACATGTTGGGGGGTTGATCTTATTGGTGGTGCCGATGAACCTAAAGTGAGTGGAGTTGGGTGGCATAACTCTGGCTATTTGGTAAGTTTTCTCTAAATGATTGACTTGTCAACATGATTTGAATTATTTAGTATCCATCATGATTGTATTGAGTTTTGGAGTTTCTTCCTGACAATCATTGAAGTTCTTCCCGGCTGTCGCTATAGTTTTTCTTGACCATCGTCGGAGCTCTCTTGCTATCGACCATTGCTAGAGTTCTTCCCGATCGTCATTGGAGTTCTTCCCAACACCGCTGGAGTTCTTCCCAACCGTCGCTCGAGTTCTTCCCAACTGCCATCGGAGTTCTCCCCAACTGCTGCTAGAGTTCTTCTCGACCAACGTCGTACTTCTGCCCATTCATCGACCGTCGTTGGACTTCCGCCCATTCATCTCTGCCCAACCTCTGACCAACGCCGAACTTTCGTCCGTTCTCCAATTTTTTTTCCAGAACTCTTCCTGGATGCTATCAATTTTGTATCTCCTCCCAAACACAGTCACCAGCCAACTACAGTCTCTATGATCACCGTCATCCGACTACAATTCTTTCGATCTCTATTGTCCAGCGTTTACAGTAGTTTCTCTGACCATCAATGCTAGACTACAGTCTCTACGACCACCATCGCCTAATGTTTACGATCTCTCCAATCATCAGTGCTAGACTACGGTCTCTACGACCACTATCGCCCGACTACAGTTCTTCTGACATCCATTGCCCACCGTTTATGATCTCTCCAATCATCAATGATGGATTACTATCCTTCTGACTTCCGACGCTCACCGACTACGATTCTTCCTGCCATAATTGCTTGCCGATTACCGTTCCTTTAACTAACATCATCCTCCAACTATGATTCAGTCGACCAAATGAATAGACCAACACTTATTCTTCCAATTCCTACCATGTAATGCATTCTACATGATGTATATTGGTCAAATTCTACCCTAAACATCATAATATAAACCAACACAATTACAAATCTACCAATACAACTACAAAATTACTCTGTATCCGTGATTTTAATAATAAGAATTAATACTTCATGAATGGCATGCATAATAAATAACTAAACAAAGCTGAGACGCCATTAACGTACGGCCGGCAACGCGGTTTTTACGTCCTGCACAGAGCTAAATTTTTAAAATATTGCTCCGCAATTTCCAGTGCTACCGCGAATTCTTCTAAGTTTCTCCGGCAGTGAAAAGTCACTGCCTGCAATTTGCATATCGTTCGCAAGTGCTGTTACGAGTTACAAGTTACAGGTTCCATTCCCTCGTTTACTTGCAAGCAAGAACCTGCTGTGAAACACATGAGAAATCTCATGGGCATTTCTTCGTCTCCCGTACAGGTCGTTGGTCTTTCACTTTATTATTTATTTATTCATTATTATTTCCTTTTAGAGTCTTCCCCTTCCCCATCGCTTTGAATGGCTCTCCCCATCGCGGGCCTTCAACAGAAATTAGGAGAGATTATTTAGTGCGGAGTCTGAATCGTAGAACTATTCTGTGAGTGTGCATAGTAAAAATATAGTTACTGCACACACTATGCTTTTACTATGCACACTCACAGAATTTGGATGAAGTTCCAGTCCAGACTTTGCACGTAATAATATATCCCTCTATAAATTAGAGGGGTAAATGAGTTAGGCCGAGCTCAAGTCACCCATAACTTGAGCATGATTAATTAATTGAATTTTGAACATTGAGTTCGAGCTTAATTCTATGAATTTGACTCACTAACAAGTCAGTTTGTTTGTAATAAAAGATAGAAAATGATTATGATTCAAGTAAGTAAAATTATGAAAAGTATAATAAATTAGAAGATAAATATTAAAAAAAATTGAAATGAATTTGTTTGCTAGTTAATAAGTTGTGTAAAAGTTGGCTCATATTTAGCTCATTAGCTTAGTGAGTTGTGCTTACAAGTCATTTATCGACAGGGGCGGATCCAACTTTTTATTTTAGGGCGGGCAAAATTAATACATTTGTCTAACTATGTCGGCATGTCTATTGTCGTGTGCGTGATGAGGCAGAACAAAGGCATCAAGGACTCAAGCTGGAGTTGGGCAAATGCTTTAGATTAGGGCAAAAACAAAATTTAGAGGGAGTAGAAGATCGAAACAACCCCTCTTATTCATTTTAAAGTTTGAGGGCGGACAATTACCCACCCTGGAGGCAACATGGATCCGCCCATAATTATCAAGTGGAAATTGAGCTGACTCACCAGCAAGCTGGACTCACAGCTAGTTATAGCCAAAACAGACACAATCAAAATAATAAAGCCATTAGTTTTAACGATTTTTATTTTTTATTTTTTATTTTTTATGCATTAATTTGATGTTTATGTATTTTCCTTTTCATGTGTGAACTGGCCGGTAAAGGTCAAAGCTCAAAGGTCTTCGTTCAAACTCAACAAATTACCCTTCAATTTACATCAAATTACACACCTTCTTTCCCCAAATGCCATCACATGTGATTTACGCTGGATCGACCGTTATATATACCCTTTCTCCTTCCGTTCACCCCATCGCTCTCTCCCCAAGCCTTAAACCCCTTCCCCTTCCAAATCACTCGATTTTCTCTCCATCTCTGTCCCTTATAATGAATAAGCTACCAAAGAATCCAGCAAACTACACCCCCCTCAGTCCAATAAACTTCTTGGAGCGAGCTTCAGTCGTCTACTCCGACCGCACTTCAGTCATCTACAACAGCACTCGCTTCACATGGCGACAGACTTACCTTCGCTGCCACCACCTCGCCGTGGCACTCCGTTCGCGCTTACAAATCTCCAAAAACGACGTGATCTCCGTTCTCGCCCCCAACATCCCCTCCATGTACGAGCTCCACTTTGCGGTTCCTATGGCCGGAGCCGTACTGAACACCATCAACACCCGCCTCGACTCCGGCAGCATTTCCACCATCCTCCGCCACTCCCAAGCCAAAGTCCTCTTCTTCGACTACCAATTCGCTTCACTCGTCCACGATTCCATTTCCCTTCTCATGGAACGCAACTCAGCTTCCCCGCTCTTCCTCGTTCTTATCGACGAGCTAGAATCACCGAAATCGAGCCATCTCGGCTTATTGGAGTACGAAGAGCTAATTTCCTCCGCAGATCTTGGAAGCTCAGAGCTTCCTCCGTTGGCTGACGAATGCGACCCCATTGCGCTGAATTACACATCGGGGACCACATCGGCTCCAAAAGGTGTGGTTTACAGTCACCGAGGAGCTTATTTAAGCACGCTTAGTTTGCTGCTTCAATGGGGGGTGGGCAACGAGGCGGTCTACCTTTGGTCCCTTCCCATGTTCCATTGCAACGGCTGGACCTTCACTTGGGGCATGGCCGCGCGCGGCGGAACCAACGTCTGTATACGCAGCAGCTCTAAATCCGACATATATAAAGCAATTGCGGATCACGGAGTGACCCACATGTGCTGCGCGCCGGTCATCTTCAACCTTCTGGTCGACGCCACGAAATCAAAGGTCGAGGTTTTAACCGGTGGGGCTCCGCCGCCGGCCGCGATGCTGGAGAGAGTGGAGAAATTGGGGTTCCACGTGACGCACGCGTATGGTATGACGGAGGCGACGGGACCAGCGCTGGTTTGTGAGTGGAGAGAAGAATGGAACCGGTTGTCGAGTGCGGAACAGGCGAGGCTCAAGGCGAGGCAGGGGGTTTCCGTGCTGAGCCTCAGCGAAGTGGATGTGAAGAACGTGGGGACGATGGCGAGCGTGCCGAGGGACGGGAAGGCTGTGGGGGAAATCGTGATAAGAGGAAGCAGCGTCATGAAAGGGTATTTCAACAACGAGGAAGCGAATTCCGAAGCTTTTAAGGAAGGTTGGTTTTTGACTGGGGATGTCGGAGTTGTGCATCCGGATGGGTATGTGGAGATCAAAGACAGGTCTAAAGACGTCATTATTTCCGGCGGAGAGAACATCAGCAGCGTGGAGGTGGAAGCGGTGCTTTACAGACATGAAAGAGTGCTGGAAGCTGCTGTAGTGGTGATGCCTCATCCGCATTGGGGAGAAACTCCTTGCGCCTTCATTACACTGAAAGAAGAGAGAGCGAAGCCGACAGAGGAGGAGATCATCGCGTACTGCCGGCGGAACATGGCGGGCTTTATGGTGCCGAAGAAGGTTGTGTTCCTGGAGGAGATGCCGAAGACGGCTATGGGGAAAATACAGAAGAATAAGCTTAGAGAGATGGCGCGGGAGTTTGGGATTGACGTTAAGAGCGAGAGGAAACCTAAGCGTGAAGAGGAGATGAAGAAGAAGTCGTCGAAGAATTCTGCTCGGAATAACGACTACGTAGTGAATGCAAGATCCCGGCTTTGAATGCCTAGAGTTGTAGCTTGGGAGAAGCTTTTGAGTTGAAAACTGTTCGTTCTGAATGTGTACGTTAATATTATTTAATATTATTGTAATAATATATAGTAAAATTATGATATTGGAGGGAAAGCGTTTGGAGCTGTTAGACTAAGGTGAAGGTGGGGTTGGGTTGGGGGAGAGATTATTACGTCTCGAGTTTGGATCGAAGTTATGTTAAATTTTTGTGAGTCTGTATAGTAAAAGCACAGTGATGAACATTAACTGTGCTTTTATCATATATTAGTAATTCTGGTTTTAGCGCAGTTGTTGTTTGGTGAACAGTAAGTGCCCAGTAATGTATCCGAACAAGTGAATTGTTTTGTAAAGTTAGTTGTGAAAGTATTATAGGGTAAGTAATTTCTTATCAAATATTAGTAATTTTGATTATAAAGCATAAATTTTTATTATTGAAATTTTTAGAAAAGAGTACTCAAATAGTATCATGATTACGATATATACTATCATATATGAAGTGACGAGAAAGCTTTCTGAAACAAACTCTAGGATCCTGTTTGAGATGACTATAGTTTTTTGTAGAGGAGGTTATAAAGCTATTGTAAAGATTAGTTTTTTTAAAAGCTGATGTAGAAAGCAACTTTTTAACATAAAACTTCTCTAAAAACTATGAGAAGCTGTGGTCAAATAAAAACTAGAATTATAATATAAAAAATAAAATAGCAAGAAAGTTGTCTCAAATGAAGACTATGGCTTCGTTTGTGACGGCTTTCTTGCCGCATCTTAAAGAGTTTTCTAGTACAAAATTTTTAATTTTTGTACTAAAAAACAGCTTTAAAAAGTAATAAGAAAGTCATCCCAAACGAAGCCTATATTTACCCAAACCTATCGTCCTAGTGCTCTTACAAACAAAACAAATATCAGCATATTTATATTTTTGTGCGTAATATAGCTGATTAAATATATTATGGCATACCATAAAAATAATTGAATTTGATTTTTGCATGGGGTGAGTGTGAAGGATTGCACGCAGTTGAAATACATGATTTAGGTTTTAAATATTTTTAATATAGATGGAATGGGTTGCTTTTCATATTGGTATATGTCTCCAACAATTGCCTCCATTAGATATGAATTTTGATGCATATATGAATTAGAACATTCTAAAATTAAATTGGGACTTATCAAACTCCGATTTTAGCAAATTTATAGTCAAATTAAATGTCTCATTGAGACGTACCAAGGAACACCACAATTGGTCTAATCCTAGCCTAAATAGGCTAAAATCAATTGTTTGAAGCATATTTTGAAGCTTCATATATAACATTAATTGGGTGACTAAATGTTATCTAAATATATAATATTGCTTATAGACGAAGCGAGCAGATTGACGAGATGAATCGAGTGGATCGACGAGATGAATCAAATGAGCCCAAGAAAGCTCAATTCCCACATTATTATGGCACTCAAATACATAACGAACTCTTTATGATCAAGGGAAACAATATGGGTTGTCGGATGGACGACTCCGAATTTACTCTAGATCTTCTCTATATTTACGGGACTACCATTGATAAACCCTCGCCTCCTAGCCAACACTGTTGGACCTCCATCAGACCATCATCGTTAGATCTCTATGTGCCCGCCACTGTCGGGTTTCTACCCGACCTCTGTCGCCCACTGACTATAGTCCCTCCGTCTTGTGTAACCCAACAACGGTCGCCTAAACCTTAGCCGCCCAACTACGGTCCCTCTGACCTCTATCGCCCGACTTGATCCCTTCGACCTCTGTTGCTGGAATACAATCCCTCCAAACTTCTCTGCTCGCTAACCATGGTCTCTCCGACCTTTGTCACTCGACAATGGTCTCTTCGATCTCAGCCACCCTACTATAGTCTTTTCAAACCTATGTTTCCCGACCATGATCCCTTAGACCATCGTCTCCTTTCAACTACATTCAATCCAACCATTCACGCACGACAATGGTCCGTCCAATCTCTATCACACACCAACTACGGTATCTTTGACCTCTGTCACCCGACAACGATCCCTTTAACCTTAATCGCACGACTACGCTCCCACCAATCTTCCTCACTTGACCATGATCTCTCTGACCATTATTGTATGAAAATGGCCGTTCAGATCTTTGTCTCACACTGACTACGGTCCCTCCAATTTCTATCACCCGACAATCATCCATTCGACCTCAATCACTCGATTATGGTCTCTCTAACATTCGTCGCCCGACTTGGCCCTTTCAACCTCCGTTGTAGGCCGACTATGGTCCTATCGATCTGCATCGTTCGTTGACTACGAACTCTCCGACCTCTATCACTTGACAACAGCAATTGAACTCTATCACCCGATTATGGTCCATTCGATCTCATTCGCTAGATTATGGTCTCTTCGACCTTCAGTGCCCGACTACGATCACATCGACAAAATGAAAAAAAAAAATCAATATTTTCTTGAGAACAACGCTCATGTCATTTGATTCTTCCAACTCCAAACATGTAACATGCTCTTTAGATATATATTTGCTACATTGAGCTAATGCCTTCCCCCCACAAAATGGCATCAGTTGTAACCAACGACAAATATTAGTATAATCAATTCAACTAAGTCAGCCCCCTTGATTTTTTCTCATTTTCAAGATTTTTCAAATAAAATTTCTAGTGTTTCTTATAACTCATGTACCAGTCTCTCTTATTTGTGTGTATGTGCTGGATCTTCCTACAAAGCTAGAACACTAAACTCGATCTCTCTACTACCGCAAATGTTCAAGCACAGAACATGATTTAACAAACAAACTGTAGATCTAATACATATATAATGTTCTTAAAATAACTTTGAACTCTTGACTTATTTCACTAAAATAAAATTATTTTATATATCTTCCAGAAATTTCCTGTTGAACATGCCTGGAAGAAGTTTTACTAAGACTTTTGATGGAAAATTTCCGTCACATTATAGTATCGGATCGTCTAACAATGTCATGAAAATACATCACTTGAAAGGTAATCAAATGTAAGTTAATGTAATTTAATATTATTTTTATAATATATTGTAAAATATTAATATTAATTTGCAAGTGCTAACCATGTGATCAATAGCGTAATTAACTTTTTAATGTGGGGACACGTAGCGTACTTTAATTAAATGATAATCATAATCACAATATAACATTCTATAATTTTACACGCAATGATGTCATGCTTCAATATATAATCTTATGCAGAATAATAATTATATAAAAATTAATTAATTAATTATAATAAATTATTGGGTATCAGTGTATCACACATGTGTCTTGCGATGATTAATTATTCTGTGCGGACAACGGACCCTGTCCAGAGGCAAATCAGATCACACCACGTCACCTCCTTACTGCTACTGCGGATGTGTACCCGCTATGTACCGGGTGATGTGGCGTGCTCTGATTCACCTTAGAACACAAAGCTACATCTGGTTTCTGCACATAATAATTTCCCATATGCAAAGCTGTATATGCAATTTGCTTCTAAGACTTCATTTGGAACAACTTTCATATTGCTTTATTTTTTAGATCTCAAATATAGTTTCTAGTTTGCAACTGCTCTTTCACTATTTTTAAAAAAATTTTATGCTAAGAAGTTGCTTTATATAATAGTTTTTTTAAAAAAATTACTTTCTCCACATCAACTTTATAACAAGTTATACAATAAGCTGTAGTTGTCTATCGAAGTGAATTAAATAGATTTATTATATGCCACCATTATTTCAACCTTTGAGGATTTATTGGTTGGTTAGATTTTAAATCATATGCATAAATATTTTCAATTATTATTTAAGAAAAATAAAATCTTGATAAAATGATAAAATTTAATTGGAAGTTGAAATAAATATTTACAAGAGGAACCCTACAACCAATATGATTATTGCACCAAGTACAAGAGCATTCTACAGGCTATCTGATCCAATCTTCGACTAGCGATGTTTGCTCTACTAGGGGTTTTTGCCCTTTCCGACGTCGTTCACTGCTGTGTGGGTGATCTCCATCGCCTGCTTTGCCTTAGAGAAGTTCTCCTCCTTCTCTAGAGCATTTTTACTATGTTCTTCTTCTTTTTTTTGGCTTGATGTCGTCTTCCTGTCTTCGTGATCCGGGGTTTTTGCACAGATATTCTTATGCTCTTTCTTTTAAAAATACTTTGTCTGGGACTTCTAATTGTTCAGTCCCTTTTCCCTATTTGTGAATTTCTTCTCACCGTGGGTTGCCATCTTTATTGATTTCGGAGGAAGAAATTCAATCCATACGTTGGTTGATTGTGTTGGACCTTCCAAGGATGTTGTTATCATGTCTGTTAATTTGGCCTGAGATATTGCTAGTCTGTCTATTAATGTTGAGTCTGATTTGTCCCCTATTGTTAATGAGTCGGAAGGTAATGCGCGAGTATGTTAATATTCCTATTTTAGTTATTTCTAACATAGATTTGAAAGTTCATGTGACTCGGTCTTTGAATAATTCTATTTTGGTACAATTTGATTGGTTGGATTTGGATGAGTCATTATACATGCCTTATGTGGGGGAGGAAGAGGATTTTGGTGATCGTGTTAATGATGATATGTATAGTTTCATGGTGGGGTGTGTTGTTAATCAAGTAGTCCTCAATGTTAGTGGCAAAATGCATAAAAGTAAATCTAAGAAGAAATATTTTTTGGATTTCACTCTCGTTTTTTATGTAGTGGTTTTTGCTGACGTTTTGGATGATGATGAGGCGGCTCCCTGCTTTTCAACTTGTTGACCCCGGCTTATTGGCAACTTTGGTGGTTTGCCTTTTTGCTGGGTGGTTGTCTGTAGGGGTTCTTGGCTGGCGGCGTTATAAGTGGCTGTCACAAATGGATGGTCCGTGTCTGACCGCGTGGTGGTTGCAGTACGTGGAATGTCATTCCTGAGTCCGCTCTTAGATCCTTCTCCTACAGCTTTGTGTGTCTGTTTTATTTAGTTTGTCTTCGTGTACTGTTATATGATGTTTTGTTGCCTCTGTTGTTTATGGGCTTGGGTTGTACTCTTCTTATCTTTTGTGGAATAAATTTAATTTAAAAAACAAGTGTAAGGGCATTCTTTAAATTTTTCCTTGCCATAAATTTTTTAGCATGAAATGATTAAAAATATTATTTTTATAATTTTTATCACCATCATTATTTACAATGTTTGTTTAACAAAATTTATTTTGTAAGAATAATGTAATTTTTATATAAAATAATATAATAAAGAATGATATTCTTAAATAATTTATTTGAGTCCAAAAAGTAAAATATTTTCTTAAGA